TACCATTACAATTATAGACTGATCATTTCTTTGTCAGTGGGCAAATGTACAAAATCAGCAGGGGAACAAATACTTTTTTCTCTCACTGTAACTCACTGTATGATTGAAGACATTTTTGACATGTGGTTTTCAATGACCTTCAGGTCTTGAATTTTAAAATCTGAGCAATGTTAAAATCTGTTTTCCTTCTGAATTGTCTTACCTTTGGTGAAACTTGATTATTCACTTAGGATTATCATATCATTGGTATCAGTTTAAAACAAAATCCTAAAATTATTTTAGGATTAGCACATTTTTTGGTTGTTAATTTTTGTTCCTAACTGATGGTTGAGAGCCAGTTTGGTTAAGTCACTAGGCTAGAGATTGGGAGTTCTCTCCCACCCTAGGCAAAAAGCCAGCTGGATGGCCTTAGGTTAGTTACTTTCTCTCAGTCCTAGGAAGAAAGGCAATGGTAAATCATTTCTGAAATCTTGCCAAGAAAACTTGTTCAGGCAGTCACCAGGAGTCCAGACTGATTCAAAGGAATCCACACAACACACACACAGGTAAGAATGTCCTATTTATTAAATCTAATTAAATGACCCATGTTCACAAATCCTGGATAGGGGAAAGATCAGAGGAACATGGTCTACTGCAGTTCAAGTAGATGTTCTTTCCATAGAAAACATAATATCTTGAGGCTGAGTTCACTGTTGAGAACAAGTGAAGTGGTCCTTGTAGTGTAAAAAATGTATTTTCCTTCATAGATCTTGATAAGCTTGACAGTGAAAAGAAGGAGCTGATTCAGAATGACATCTCTGCTCTTCACCACTTTTATTCGAAGCACATAGAATACCCTGACAATGCGGCTCTGGTGGTTCTTTTTGGACAGGTAAGGTGGTTAAAGAAATGAGGGTTATGGACTTGCAGTTTTACGCTGAACCAGTGGTGCAGGAAGTGAGATTGCATAGGTGCAAAACTATGTTGTATTTTCTGCAGTGGCCTCTTGGCAGTTCTTCAGTGTGGACTGTGACTCCACTAATTCCTCAACACTGCATTTTGACTATGGGAAGACACTTTTTTTTACAGATTGCTTGCTCATGTATTGCATATATAAAACACGTGGGCCTATTGCTTCAAATTTCTTCTTTTGGAAGCATGCTAATGTTTTTGAAAACCACATCAGTTTCCCATGTTATGTTTCAAGGAATTCTGGGAATTTTGGGATAAAATGCAACATACATAGATGGCACCAAGTGAGGAGTTGCTTTAAGGCTGAATTTCTTTCCCAAAACAAATACAATACAATTTTATATTTTCTTAAGCATTTTAAAGTAGGAGCAACTTAGGTTTTTCTGGACTGTTATCATTTCAGATTCTGCTTCTTTAGATTTAAATTAGATTTTTAAAAACTTTCTTCCAGCCTTCCATCTTTTGTGATACTTGTCTGGTCTGCTCTGGCCCAACTAGGCTACCTGGTTCTTATTTTTTCAGACAAAATTAGATTATAAATAAACTTTGCATAAACTCCTTTATGTAATCCTGGTAGTTCAACAGCAAGACTTAATTAAGAATAAGCAGTGTTATAATCAGATTAATCAGCATGGTACAGATGAATGGGGTCATCTACCATGGAGAACTAAGTAAGCCAGTGGATTTTTATTTCTAAGATCTGAGTGTTTCTGTCCTTCTTTCCCTTCTCTTAGGTTAACTGTAATGGCTTCACAATTGAAGATGAAGAACTGTCACACTTGGGATCAGCAATATTTCCTGAGTAAGCTTTTGAGAAGTAGTACTGTATTCTTTTCCCCAATTTACGAATGTATATCCAATAGCAAATGTTCAAAAACCTCTAGCTTGTTTACAAACTTGGGCCAGTGGTTCCCATTTCATCTTGTACCTCCCACAGTGTTTCCATTCAACCCAAGCACCTGATTTACCAGGTAGCATTTCTGCTTCTGGATTAGAGATGATTGCTGAACAGAAGAAATTGGATTAGGTTAGGTTAGGTAAAGTAAGGTAATTTACTGATCTAACTTAGTATCGTCTACTTCTACTGGCAACAGCTTCTCAGAGACCTTCATGTGAAAGACGTGAAGACAGGCAGATTGATCTCCTTATTGGGCTAGAAGATGAGCATGTTTGAAATACTGGAAAGAATTTGTTAGCCTCCCTTAATTCTCCAGATATTTTGGATTCAGATGGTTTAGGTGACATTCATCAGCCCAAGGCAGAATGGCCAAAGGTCAGGAATGAAAAGAAACTGATATAAAGAATAAAGAGTTGAATGGTCTAATATGACATATGACAACTTTTTATGGTAGTAGTCTACTTATAGAGAGAAAGCTGTGATGTAAAGGCATAACATCTGATTTCTTTGGGCTCTGAGAGCCCATCCTTTAAACTTGATAATAGATGCAAGAGAAGCATCGAACACTTCAAAGGCAAAACACACATTTTACATGCATAGGGATTCAGCAAGGTCTCTGGCCTCTCTAGTTAAAATCCTCACCGTTATTAAGAAGGCTTTTATATATTAGATTCATGAGACCCACTGTAAATTAAGGTAGGTGATTCTGCCCTACAATATGACTGTTGAGAGACAGCTTTTTAATATTTATATGGTTGGGAGATAATTGAGTTGACACATGTGGAAAGTGCATATGAATCCCATAGAAAATGAAATTGGTGAAATGTCAAGAAGAAACAGAGAAATAAGAGTTCCAGCTGGCCAACTGACCAGTAGAGAAAATGCAATGTGCCTTCCCTTTTATTTGTGTACCTTATGTTGAGGTCCATCAGAAATAGGCTAGATACTCTTGGACCTGTTGGTGCTTGGGGCATAACTCAATTTTTAGCAGTTTGGAGGAAGGAAGAGAAGGGCATAGCAGACCATGTAAGGAGACTACAAATTAATGACTTGGCAAAAGGAACCTTGAAGATGCTCATGTACACCAATGCTGGTATTGATCTACATGTTTTGAACCATTAAAATGGAAGACATCATCATTACCCTTTGGGAGTTGGAATATGGAGCATGTGGTTCAGTTCTGATTGATTCTGTTATGACTTAGATATTTAGCTACAGAATGTGTTACCATAAAATAATCACTTGTGTAATATATTAGCACATGGATACTGGAGATGCAGTTAAGTGGAATGGATAGGTACACCAAATGTAGAAAAGCATGTAAATTCAGATCACCATCCAACCAAAACCAGGCACGGTGAGATTACTTTAGTACAGTGGCTTCAGTGAGAAAGTTAAATGTATGCTGAACTCTGTTTCATTAAAATAACTCTGATTTTAAAGCATTTAACTGCATTGTGTACTCCATTTTCTGAAACAACCACTTGTGACAACAAATTCTATAAACTGGGCAAATTAATTGTTATCTCTGTTTCACACTGTGCTAACCTTTTCCGGTGTTAGAAATATATCTCACACCTTTGCATAAATCAGAGTATTGCTTGCTTCCTAACAATGACCTTCTATTTTCCTCAGTGTGGCACTTATGAACCACAGTTGTTGCCCCAATGTGATTGTTACCTACAAAGGGACAGTGGCTGAAGTCAGAGCGGTTCAAGAGATTGAAGCAGGAGATGAGGTAACTGAATATATGCAATTCTTATGTGCTCAGATGGGATGCATAAGGAGTACTTTGCACAGTGAAGGGCCAAATGTTTTGTGCATGCAGTATTGCTGAAGTATGTACTGTCAAGTTTGTGGTACCTCCCTCCCTCTATCTGTTCCCCCCTAACCCGATTTCCAGTTTTAAAATACAGCTGGAAGATAGTGACTCTAAATTTTGGGAAGCAAGAGTTTATCTTTGGGGATTTGATCGACTGTGATTCTTTTCAGTGTGCTTCCAAGATGGCAATCCCAGTTCTTTTCCCCCACTTCTTTCCCTGAATCTTAAGTAAAAAACCATGTACTTTTTGTCTCCAATCTTCGATATGATTGGATAGCAACTGCTAAGAGTGGCACATTTTGGCTAAATGCAATTTAACTAAAAAGAGAAAGCTGTTGTGGAGCTGTTGGATTCATTAGCAATGAATGTGTGACTAAAGAGGTACACAATTGCACTCCAGCACCCTAATATGCTTGCAGAATTTTATTGCTGCAAAAATAGTACTATGTATTAGTTCAGGCCTCTAGATGTAGAGAATGATAAAAATAACAGGATAAATAAACAAATAGGCACTTTCTCATGATGAAGAACAAGTGTTTTAGGAATGTAAGTTCTCACTTCCCCATATATTCATCCTCATCTGGGTTTGTCATGGTAGAACCTCTTTTACTGCATTCCTGATTGCTATGGGGTTATTCAGGAAAACCATGATCTCTTTGGATGCCTGACTTCATCATTTGCATCTGTTTTGGAGACAGAAGTGCCATAGAGCAGAAGTTTTAACAAACTGGTAGAACAGGTCAAATGGAGAGCATGTTAATGGAACTTCTGGAAAAGATTCTTAAGTAGAATAGAGCTATAACTCATTAATCTTTGGTGATATGGCCTGTGCTTCCACCTTCTGGTTCAATGTGATTATTGCATGAGAAACCTGTCAAAAAATCCCCACAGTGTGTGTGGAGGGGAGCACACATGTTTAAATTGGCTTTCATATCTTGTGCCTGGAGAAAAACAGTGGAGATGCACTTGTTGTAGAATAAAAACAAACAACTGTTAACTAACATCAACTTGCCTTAGGCATGTTATGAGAAAGTGAAGGACACAAAGAAGACCAGGCAGAGTGAACAATTTGCATCTCTGATGGAGCAGTTAGATAGCTGGCTTTCCTTCTTGGTTTTATAACATTTTATTTTAGGTGAGAGATTCCAAATGGGAATAAGGTCATTTTAATTTTGTTTTTCTTATGTGTGAATGTATTTTTGATTATGAGTCTTTTAGAAAAAGTAGAGGTGCTTTATAACTGATTGATTATGATGATGATGGAGATAACTATAAGCCTCAGACCTTGACATCCTATTTTATATTTGGAAGGACTGAAGAAAAAAAAAGGGGGGGGGAGATATTGAGGGCTAAATCAAGATGTACAACTCTGAGCCTTATATTTGTTTGCCTGTATTTGTCCACATACGGCTTTTGGTGGTCATTTGATTTGGTCTTTTTATAATGCAGTACCTCTACCAGTTCTGTTTATTTCCAGGTCCAGGTTTCAACCAAACAATACTTATACTTTCTTGGGTATAAGGACACTTCTCAGAAAACATGCATAGGATTATTGTACTGCTTATTCAATACTATGACTCAACTGGGCCTTTTAAGTCTTTAAAACACACACCTGCTATATTACATGCAACATCTTGGTCCCATTTATAAATCTAGTGGGGATGGAAACCCCAAATGGTTGAAAATCCAACAGTCTAGGTTTTTCCAGTGTTAAAAGTCTCTCGTTACATGACCCTTCTTTTGTCTCATATTAACACCAATACAGTGGTGTTGGGTCTTGAAATTCTGGGAGTTGTAGTCCCAGCATTTCTGAAGAGTATGTGTTCTGAAACATTGGACTGGAAGAATGACTATTCATGCTGTATTGCCAAGATGAAACTCCAGTTAATTTAAATGGATCACATAGGGCACTTTTAGCCAGATCTTCATTTATTTTTCCCTGTCACTGGAGCAAGATTAAATACTTAAAAAAATTTTTTTTTCAGTAGCATTTTCCTAAGCAAATTAGCATTCCAAAGTGGACATAGCTAAGAATGATTAGAAATGGCTCTGAGAAGTAGAATGGGCAGATCTCTCAGTAATAGAAGAGTTGAACTTTTGACACATCTCCCTGAATCCTGGCTCTGTACCTGTTAATGCTTTGAGTTTCTTTGTTCATAATATAATTTTTTAAAATTTTGTATGTACAAATTGGAAACTCTGTTCAGTGACATAACTTTTTACAAAAAAATTGCATATAAATTGATACATTGGCTGCATTCCCAATAAATCATCAAAAGCCATAGAGTTAATGAGCAAGTTCTTGTGCATGAAGCCCATTTCTTCCCCGGGGGCAGATAGATTAAAAAGCCAAGTTGGGATAGCTTAGTGTGATATCCATACCTGGGGTTATGTTTATTAAGCCAAACAAACCAGTATTCACAATCCAGTAACAAACTCTAGTTAGGACTTGTGATTTTCACTAAATCTTTTTGTTTGTTTACTTATTTGCAAGAAGGGAAGACCAAATTAGGTACAGACATCGGCACGCAGCTCACTATGCCCTGTAGTTTTTAAAAGTAATTGCCACTGGAGTTTCATATGCCCAGATCAGTATATATACGTATGTATATATGTATGTGTAAGATGGACTATATTAAGATCTGTGTGCTGCTAGAAAATAATCATTATTTCCTTTCCCAGATTTTTACCAGTTACATTGACTTATTATATCCAACAGAAGATAGGAATGATCGATTAAGAGATTCCTATTTCTTTACCTGTGATTGCAGGGAATGCTTTACTAAAGAAAAGGTAAGCTAGTTTAACCATTTAATCACATGCTTTATTAATTAGATTGGTAGGCTGACTGGGATCACAACATTATTCTTACTCTATGTAGCATTTTTATAGCAACTGCAGTACTTGAGACCCCCAGACCGACTTGGAATATCTGAGGTCAGCTAGAGCTAAGGAGAGACTGGAACCCAGGTTCAGTTTTCATTTCACATTTCCTGCCTGCCTCCCTTGCTGTTGTACCTTAGCACAACGCTTATTTCTATTACTGTACAATGCCTTTTTCCAAAAGCATTCTATAGTTCAGGACAGGTGGGTGAAATGGTCAGAAGGCCAAGGGTACATGGATCATAGAGCCCCCCCGCCAACATGTAGGGATTTATGGATTAAAACCAGAAGCTACACTATAACTTCCTTAGCAACTATCTCCTTATAGATGGAATTGTAGCCTTCCAATCAAGGCAGAACTTCATTTTGAAATTTAATGTTAAAGTTGCATTTAATTTTAACTTGCTGCTTTGTCAGTTTTCTCTATTCAGGGGCCCTCCAGATCCCCTCATGACTAGCTAACCCATGGCTGCTGAGTTTGATAGAAAGTAGCCAACATATCCAGAAGGAGCCAAGTTTTAAGATGCCTTAAGCATTATGATCAGTTCTTAGTTACTGCCAATTTGTCTGTGGATCTGCTTTTTGTCTTTGGAACAGCCTTTGTAACTTTCTTGTAACTTTTCCCTCAGGACAAAGATAAATTGGAAATCCGTAAACTGAACGAGCCTCTGTCAGCAGAGGCCGTGCGAGATATGATCAGATATGCCAGAAATGTGATTGAGGAATTCAGGAGGGCCAAACATTACAAATATATCCTTTGGTGTTATCTTTTTTGTGTCCATTTCTGCAAAGCTGAATTTTCAGTTCACTTTAGCAGTCTCATTTATTGACGCATATCCAAAAATGAATTTCCACAAACGTGGGCTGCAGTTCTCAAATTGTTTTTTTTTTCTTTTTCATTATTGAAGAAATCTAGAATACAAATATATTTAATTTTTATTTTTTAAAAAGAATATTTGACATAGTCGTTATATGATCCAAGCTCAGGGATTTACCATTCCACTGCATTAGAGAATCTTTTTCTAACTCATGAAATCAGGAAGTACTTCAGTCAATAGTACCGTTATCTTTTCCACATTAACTTTCAGGTATTTTGTCTACATCTAGTCTGTCATGATACATCACTGGTTTTGAACTAGGAACTCTTAAGAATTTCATTTGAACTGCATTGTTAAGCCATCCTAAGTCATGGTTTCCTGGACTAATGTACAGATTAGAAATCAGTTGTCCTTCTTTGAAAGTTGTAATATACTTCTCAGCTCAAAAAGTATATGAATTTTTTATTTATGCTTGCATACCTGTTAGTATCATAAATTGAACATTTAAGATAATATATGAAGTGTATGATAAATATAAATAGATATAGTGAAAATAAATATCAAAATGTTCAAACAGTTTAAAAGGATTTATAGATTGGTATGGAAACAGGATGAAACAGTTACATGAACGAACTCATATTAAACTGAGATGGATTGGAAATAGGTTGATGTTTCCATCCATCCTTATTGAAGACATCCTCCATCTTCCTGGAATGAGAACAAGAAAGAGAGAAAATACTTGGTATCATCAAAATCCTATTGTCAATCTACAGTCAGCCTTACGTTTTATGTAGATTTTAAACAACATGAAAAGATAAGCTGAAATTGTGCAGCACCTGAAAGGCCAAATGTCATGAGAATGAAGCCATCATCAGCACAATTCCTCTAAGCCCTCAGGGAAGATCCTGCCTAATAGCCTGTATATTTACACTCTCTTTAAATTCTAGTCCATAAGAACAAAGAACAAGAAAGGGTAGAATATACATCCTTGTGGTTTCAGCTGAGGAGGTAATGATGGGACCTAATATTCAGCAGCATAACCTGGGAAACATAGCTTGATAGTTTTCAGTTGTTATATACCTTGACTCTTGGCTTACCCCCAGGTGAACTCCTGGAGGTTTGTGAGCTCAGTCTGGACAAGATGGGTTCCGTGTTTGCAGACAGTAATGTTTACATGTTGCATATGATGTATCAGGCCATGGGAGTTTGTCTATACATGCAAGACTGGGAGGGTGCTTTGCGCTACGGGCAGAAGATTATTAAGCCATACAGGTATCTGACTTTTCCTCTTGTAACTTGTATAATATAATAGGTTGAAATATCTGTAAAGGAATACACCTAACTAAACACACCATTGGCTTCCATTTCAATGAACAAGGAAACAAATATATTTATAAATATATTGGTGTGTGAGTCAATATAAAATTGCCTAAGACAACATAAGGCATCATATGGTTATGATCAGCTGTCTTGAGATAACAACTTTTAATTACACATTTAGAAAGTTACACTGACATTTGATTAAAGATGTATAACAGAAACAAGAAACTTCTCTGGAAGATTAGATGAAAGGCTCTAGAGAAAGATCCAGTAATGCAGCTGGGAAGAGAAGCTCTGGATCTTGAGTATGTAAACAAACCCAGTGTGATTGAAATTTTATAAAGAACTTTATCCCCAGAGCCCATCAAGTGATAGGCTCTATGAGATCTATAAAAACTTTTTCTTGGATCTCTGACCTCTTCTGTCATAAGAGATCTCAAGTTTTTTGTTGTTCCTGTTTCTCCTTTTCCTATATATCATTACCCAGTCTGCCCAGTGTCTCATATTGTGATTATGACTGGTTGGGGTTCTGACCTCTTGCTTTCAGTGCCTTAGGAGTCATGGTATCAAGAATATTCACAGAGCTATTTTGATGTCACAGAATATGAAGCAGATTTGGCCCAGAAAACAGAACGTTAGGAGCGATATGCGTTTTGGCCTTAAGCACCATATAAGTTACTGATTTGGGAGATTTTCCTACACAATATATCCTTCATGAGGAGGACAATAACTCAGTCATACAGATGCTTTGCCTGCAAAAGGTCACAGCTTCATTTGCCAGCATTCCCAGTTAGGGCTGGAAAGATCGCTGTGTGAACTGGACTGTTGTTGTAGTATCAGGACAGAGCTATAGGGACTTCATATAAGGCAGCTTCCTATGCTCCTATGTTCCCCACATTTCCCTCCCTAATATGCCTGTTCATCCCTCTCTCCTCCACCAATGCTACAGCAACTGGTTGGTTTTCTATTTTGTTAAGGGCAATTAGGAACTAACAAAGTTGAGCAGAGTTTTAGAAGAGGAAGGCAGATTCTTGCAGCAGGCTTCTGGCAGCTCTGCAGGAGGCACTTCAGCAGGCTTTTCCAGCTAAAGAGGCATTTGGTTTGGAAAGAGATTTGATCAGCCTGAGATTTTAAAGAGCCACTGAGGTGTGGGCACTTCTGTAGGACACAGATAGGCAATCCGATTGCCTCCAGGTGCTTTGGAATACAGCTATCATAGTCTGCAGCCATCAAGAACAAAAGGAAAAGATTGTGGGAATTCCAGTCCAAAATCTAGAGGACCAGCTCACCTTCCATGTGGGAAGAACCAGTCTTTCTTTGAAATGGCAGACTTTTACAGTGCTGGTGTAAAAGTCTTTATACTTTGAGGTATTTTAGTTTTAAGGCCATAAACAAGATTGCTCTAAAAAGGCTAAATTTTGTAGCACATTGGCAGAGAAGCATCACCACTAGCATTGTAAGTCTCAGGAGGTGCCTGAGCCAGGAACCAGTAGGTTCCTCAGTAAATTATTGTCTTAGAGCATAATTTTCCCTCTAGCTGGGAGTACAGCTCTTTCTCTTTGAATCAGATGCCAGTATGAAGTCATAGATCAGCTGGCGGGGAGTGGCGATAGGGAAAGCACAACAGCACAGTCTTCCCCTGAGGCCGAAATCAGATTTATCACCCCTGATCCTTGCCTAGTTTTTATGGGCTCAGAGCCTAATTTCCTACGCTGGTTCAGGCTGGCTAAAAAACCACCATGGTCTGGTGTGCTAATACTTCAGCTGTTGGACTGCCTCCTCCCTGAATGGCTGCCTAAATGCATGGAATGTCCTGTAAAAATCATGATCTGTTGATCATCAGTTGACCAAAGTCCCTTCCATGAGAATACTGTGAAATATCCATTGTCTCTAAAGCAAAGGGGAATGTTTGCCCTCATGGTCAAATTAAGCTAAGCCGGAGCTGTTGTAGGTACATCTTGGATAACAAAGTTTGAGCTCTTTTACAAGCAAATGTGTGTTTATATTTTGCAGTAAGCACTATCCTTCTTATTCCCTCAATGTGGCATCTATGTGGCTAAAATTGGGAAGACTTTACATGGGCTTGGAAAACAGACCAGCTGGTGTTAAGGCTCTTAAGAAGGTACATTTACTTTCTTTGCAGAATACTGGTGTTAGTGTAAATTGAATTCTCGTGTCATGTATAGAAATGTTTTGCTTAGGAATATCTGTTTATTCTGAAGTGTTTTTGCATTATAATGTTCTTTGCTGTCCGTTCCTACTTGGAAGTAAGCCTCCTTGATTTCAGTGGGATCTACTCCCTGCTAAATGTATATAGAATCATACATGCAACTTCTGTATGCTACTGAGAGAATAAAAGTTGTCCTCCCATATCAGAATAATTAATTTTAGAACTCAGAATTCTAAAGATTGTTCAAGTGTATTTCTCATAGTTGCTCCAAATCTTCAGTTAAGGTGGTAGAGAGTTGCAGTTTAATTCATGCCTATGGGTTTTCCAACAAGATCCCTCACTGGAAAGTTGTTCTGAGTTTTTGTGGTTTTGTGTACAGTCAGGAGCTGTTCAGAAACTGAATGTTCTTGGCTGTGGTCAAAGCTGACATATGGCACCAAGCAGATTGCATTTCAGTAGCTAGTTTGAATGTTAGTGCATATGGTAGTCAAAATATTTTTTTCTCTGTGGCTTCACAAAAACCTGTGTGTTGGGAGGAAGGGTGTGCAAGCAATAGATATGGAGACACAGATTTTGCTTCCTTTTTCTCATTTTGGGGATGAAGCATTCTATGGGGGACAATTGCTAGGAATGCCTTCTGAGTATTAGTGGATCAGCATCCAGACAGCGATGACAAATGCTCTCTAGAAACTAGAGCAAAGATGAAAAGAAAGCTGGATTTCTAAGGTGATTCAGTATTCTTGGGTTAATGGAAGCAACTACTATAGAAAGAAGCTGACCTAAATTATACACCAGTCTTAATTTTCCATTTGGTCTTAATTCAAGAGGATAGTTTAGCTAAAACAAGTTGATGATTCATGTAGGACGAAGGCTGTTTACTCTCTGACTCTTGATAGTTTGCATGATTCCACCAAAATTGATTCATGGTTGATCTTGTTAATTTGCTTTAGAATTGACTTGAAATTTCTCCTTGGTGAATATTTTTGTATTGTCTGCCATGTTAGCTAATTCTGTGATCCCTCCATATAAGAAACAGCTGTTAAATAGCACCCATATTAATTCAGAACCTTGGGAAAGGTGCTGTGACAAACTGTCAGTTGTATCCTATCCTTGTTTAAATTTTATTATTAATGCTTTCCAGTGATGTGGAATTACATCAAAAAGATTTTTAAAATGTATATCAGATTCTAGTTGGCTGTGTTTTTCCAACTGAAAACACCTTCAGAGAAGCATCTGTAATATAAATTGCATTATTATTATTATTATTATTATTATTATTATTATTATTATTATTATTAAAATTTATATGCCACCC